GAACTATTGCCAGATCATTTGGCATATATCATATATCAAATACCAATCTATACGAAATAAAGTTCATGTAAATATCAACAATAAATGGTTTTAATATTTCCCGCTTCTTATCAGCCTCTTATCAGTTTCGGGTCCAGAAAATGTTCGTGCCTGGTTAATACTGCTTAAATATACCACAAATTTCACTTTCCAGCCCTGTAACGCGACAAATTTCCACTCCCCTCCTCACCCCTCGCCAACAAGTTTTGTATGGGCGTTAAACGGTAAATGGATGCAAACGCGACGCGTCCATAATGAGCAGAGGGCATTAGGGATTTTGGGATTTTATCCTCTTTTAAACCAGATTCGCACTGTTAACTTTTCACTCCATTTCATGCGCACTGTTAACTTTTCACTCCAATTCGTGCGCACTGTTAAGGGCCATACGAAAACCACTCAATGCAGCTGTAGCTGAACAGCCACTCAAAATGTTAGCTTAACAGAACTGATGAAAAATACTTTTCTTTATTTTATCAAATTAAATTCAACAAAATAATTCTAAATTTATAATATATTTTATTGGCATGTATGCATTCATTCGTTTTCTCCGGAATGATTGTTTCTAAAGCTTCTTTTAGGCCTTCTCGCCACTCAGTGCCAACATTTTCTAATATCATTGTTCATATACATAAGGGGGATTCCCTAAACTGTTGAATTGCTGAATTGTTGAATTTTGGTCAGCTGTTAATCAGCTGTTCCATACAAAGTCAACTTTCAGAAATTTCCCTCGGGGCTGTTGAAAATTGTGTTGAATTGCTGAAAAGCCAGAGTTGTCACCTTTTTTTAAAAGTCGTGGCAACTCTGTAACATTTTAGTATCACCAGTACGCATTATTTATTTTAAAATAAACTTTGAAAGCATATTTTTGGTTCTTTTTACCTTGGTAACACTTTTAGACAGTAACTAGCAATAATAAATCAAATTTTACATGTTTTAAGTTCTGTGAAATTTTTCAACAAATAACAGCTGTTTGAAAATTCAACAGGAATCATTTTGTGTCGTTCCCTTAATTGCTGAAATTTTTTGTTGAATTTTCAACAATTCAGCAATTCAACAGTTTAGGGAATCCCCCTATACATACCTTGCCTGGAAGAAATTGTCAGGCGGTGAAGAAAAACCATTAAAAAATCTTTCCGTTTTATTTTTTGCAGATTATTATTTCTGCAGCAACTTGATTTCTAATTCTTTTTGTTGGTGCTGTATCACCATTTTTTAAAAAAAAATTCAAATACTTTGGTATTTGAATCTTTGAAAAGAGGCTTTTCATAAAGCTCTCTTAATATGCAATCTGTATAGATTGATTTGGTGTTTTCAATATAATAATCCCACAGTCTGGGGATTTCATTTTGTAATATGTACACTATTGTTGTAAAGCACCGCCAAAAATGGTCTATCTAATTTTTTAATTCTTAGAGTTTCTAAGAGTTTCATTTATCCCTTTTAACACTATTGGGCTTTCTCGATTTCTCCACTTCCATATATACCACTTAGAATATACCACCTGTTATGCCTGAAGGGCATACGTAGAGGCTCCATACGTATTTGGAATTGCCGATAAAAATAATTCATCGCAAAGAATGCAGAAGGGCTTAGAAAAGTCCCATCTGTCATTTAAACTCCCCAACAACGAACACGAGCGTCTCTCGTGACCAGTTCGTTCGCTCCGTAAAAATTACTTAATTCGATCGAATCCAATCATCCGCGAGTGAATTCCTTGCTAATCTCCTATTACTGTTCCTATTCTTGTTGGTGAGTTAATTTCTCCGAAATGTTGTCGTTTTCTGACTGGAACTCCCCAGAACGCAGAAACCAGCGACCACGTGAGATTTCCAAGAATGTGCAAAAGTTTGCGAGCCCTCCCTCTGCGCACAGCAAGGAGCTGGAGCCGCTACAGCGGTAACTTTTTTTTGCATCCGTGCCACGCGAGCGCGACGCCCAGGATTTGCATCAGCTCTACTCCTGGATTTACCATTTCATCAGAGCCCACGCCTGAATCTACATAAAAGATTTCTGTAAAGGCGCACACCGCGTGAAGTGGATCTTTTCTCCTTTCCACGCCTGGACTACCGTACTGTTCGTCAGCGTCCAACCGCAAGCGGCATCAAGGAACGCCGTTTCTACCTCACCAAGCCCGCGTGAGGTTTTCATCGTGCAAAAACTGCACCAAAGTCGACAGGTCCGATCCAGTCGGACAAAATTCGGACGAATCCCACCGGCGCCGATTCGTCAAATCCGCGCAAGCACGCGCAAACACGAAGTCTCATCCCAATTGGAATTTCAGTTCCAATTCTGGTTCCAGTTCACGTTGGCCGGGGCTGCCAACTTGTTCTTTGTATCGCATTAAGTAAAAGTAGTTTAGTTTGCTCCTTTTCCAATACATTTAAGATACGATTCTAATTTACTTTACGATTCCTATTTAGCCAACATTATTTCGTGTGTGCTTATGATATAGATTGACATATATAACCATTACATAAACACTTCAAAGTTCTACAGCACACATCGATCCTCATCAGGCCTGCTGACTTCGTTGGAGAGTTCGTAAGTACGGCATAGCCGTCAAAACATTTAACTATATATTCATTCTTGTCTAAGCCCACACATTTGATATATATATTTATCTATCTACAATCATATAATCGTTGTCATATATAAGAGAATTAAATAAGAATTTGATTAACGTAAAGTAATCGGCCTCAGGGCCTCGGATTGAATAAGAATATCGTATATCGATAACACAATGTAATCAACCACAATTTAACGTAAAGTAAATACTTCCTTTCCTTTTTCTTTTTGACAATCGTACATACAAACACGACCGTATAGAGAGTCGCTTAACGTAAATAACGTTTAGTCTTAAGAACTTAGTTTTACATTATTAGAATTGAGAATGAACCGTATTATCGTATTTGGAGTAATAAAGATGAAGTTTAATATGAATTAAATTGTTATCTTTTGAGGGCCCCTAAGAGAATGTAGCGCAGCGGTTGTTTAAGGGTAGAGTCTGATGAGACTTTACAGGTAGGGTGGGTATAGAAGGAGGCCATTACCATCTGGGCCTCCATCTTCGTCTGAATCTTATAGGGTCTTCCCACAGAGCTCCATCCACCATCTACCATCCGTTGAACGGATGGTCCGTAAGGTTTTGCCGTTCCGAAAATTTCCCAGTTAGTCCGCCATCCAATTTTAACGGACTTTGACGGGCTCTTTTATGCGATAGTTAGGCGATGTTTTCTCGGTGCAACTCTGAATTCTTCCTCTTGACTGTGAAAATTGGAACGATGACTGCGAGAACAAATCAAATCGATGGCGGGAAAAAATTAAATAATGCTTCAGCACATTGTTTTTTGGGTTTTTTTTAATTTTTTGTAGTTTGTTATGAGCGGAAAAGCGTTCGCAAGCAGGTTGTTATGTGTGGGCCAAAATGTAAGCTGTCGTGCGTACGAAAACATAAATGTTTGCAGCAAAGCGTCAAAATATGTTCTGCACTTCGTAAATATAACTAATGTTAATTAAAAGTGTACTTTGTACTCCTATAAAGTTCCAAAGTTGCTATAATTTACCATAAACAGCATACATTTGGTTTTGTTTACAAATTTTTCATATTAATATTGGCTAGGCAGAGGCGTAGTAAGAGCGGAGTGTGGGGTACGGGAGGTTAGGCTCCCCCGCAGTCAGCAATATGTATGCATACTCATTGTAGGATATGTTATAAACGTTCAGATATGTTAATAAACTATATTTTTAATCTATTTATTGTATTATTCTCCAATAAAATTAGGAGAACGCAATTTTACGACAGTTTTTCCGAGTTAAAATCCCCCTTCGTTAATGTTGCGCTGAGCAACTGCTCTTCACTCAGCAGTTATTGGATGGTAGATGGTGGATGGAGTTCTGTGGGAACACGAGTTTCACATTCGTCAAAAATCCCAACCGTTTCAAACGGATGGACTCTATGGGAAGAGGCTATTAGCCGTTGGGTTTAAGTTCTTATCGTTATCGTTTCTCTGTCTACTACTGTTAGTTCTGTGACACTTGTTCTATCTTAAGCCTAGTACTCAGTACGACGAAAACTGCTAGCTAAGCATAGGAGTAAGCGAGAGGCAAATAGGTAGCTAACGCCTTTAGCCGGGGACTTTTTTCCACCTCGGTACTCAGTTGAGCTAAGGAAACAGTAAGGAAATACCGAAAAAAACTAGATTTAGCGGATGAATTCCGATGAACGCCTTTAGCCGCGGCCCAAAGAATAAAAAATTTAATCTTTGGCTGTGTTTGTGCAGAATCGGTGTGCCAATAACATATAAATGGAAGGAAAACCACAAAAACCAATGGAAAACTGCCTGTAGGAGTTGCTGCAATACATATTGCCATTCCAATAGCGAATTTAAAGCTTGCGACCCAGGTCGGCTTAACGTTTTGTAATATTTTAAAATTGGCGCCAGTTAATTTGTTTGCTAAGAGTAAGACCGTGCTACATGCATTGCGGATGAACTCCGAAAACTTCGGTCACACTAAAAGATTAATATTTTTCGACTAGTAAAACTCTTAGCCGAACTGAGTACTAGGCTTTAACACAAACCCACACCCAGCTCCCTGAGTAGGCCGGTCAAAACGTAGACAGAGGTGTTAGGACAACGCTCATCGAGTGTGTTCGTTACAAGATGGAAATTTTTTCAATTTTGCTCTGCCATTTTAATCCCTGGGGCAACTTCAAGTCCTGGCGGGAATTTTAAATTGTGGTGGTAAAAAATAATTTTAACGACAAATGCCCTACAAGAATTTCTATTTTCTGCCATGCATAATAATAATCTGACTATAATTATACCACATTTAAAAGAAAAGAAGTCCGCGCAGTTACTTTATGATCCATTTCATAAATCTTCTGTTTAATCTCATATTGAAATTTTAATTAGTGTAAATTTAAACAATGTTCAAACATATTTTTATTAAAGTAATCGATCCTAGTCTGATCCTTTGGGTAGTTTTTGGGTCCTGGAAGCATAATATTAAAATGTATCAATATAATTTATCATAATATTAAAACAATCAACAAATCAGTACTCACATAACGCGCAGCTCTTCCAGCGTGGGGACGTTGAGGCGCGAGGAAAGCTTTACGCCGTCTTCCTGCTGAACCTCCTGCGGATGTTTCTTGAGCTTGTGTGACCGGCAGTTGGCGTTGCAGGCAAAGGACTTGCCGCAGTAGTTGCAGACGTACGGTCGCAATCCCGTGTGGCTTAGCAGGTGGGTCTTGAGGGTCTTGGAGCGCTTGAAGAGCGCCCCGCAGACATCGCACTTCAGGCGCCGCTCCTCGCTGTGCACCACCTTGTGCATGTTCCAGGTGCGCCGCGTTTGCAGCTTCTTGCCGCAAATGTTGCACACAAAGCTGGGCTCCGCATGGATTTGATAGTGGGCCTTCAGACGGGCGCGGTTCTTGAAGCCCGCCTTGCAAACGGTACACTCGAAGGGACGATTGTCCGTGTGCACCAGCTTGTGCTCATTTAGGGCGGTAATTGTCTTCAATTGTTTGCCGCAACTATCGCAGATATATGGCTTGACATTCTGATGTATACCCTCTTTGTGGAGCTTTAGGGCGGTGACGGAGGACAAGGTTTTGTTGCACAGATCACAGGTGGTCGTGGTCTTGTCCACTTTCACCCTCCGCTCGATCCTGCGGCACACGCGTTCCAAGTGCTTCTCGTAGGAGGCGCGATTCCTGTAGACCTTGCCGCATTTCTCGCAATTCATGCGACCCCGCTTGGCCTTTTCCTCTGCACTTGACTCGGACGCATTTGGTGCTGCCGTGACGAGATTCATTTGCTGACTTTCTTCGGCCTGGAATTCGTCGGAGCTGTCCAACATTTCTGGCTTGACATCCTGTTCTTGGTAAACTGAAGAGTTTGTGCTGTCCACGCGGGACTGAGATAACTCCTCTCCAGGCAATTCAACTAGCACGTCGTCCATGTCCAGTTGATTTTCATTCTTCTCTAGCAAAATGGGGCCGATGTCAATGAATTCCTGTTTGGGTATCTCAATTTCGAGGCTGTTCTTTGGGTGCGGCGTCATTTGGCTCCCTGATATTTTGATTTCCAAAGGAGATTCCCGTAAAACTCTGGCCTGGTTTAGATGGATTTCGCTGGCATCCTGGCCAGAGTCGATTTCAGGGACCTGCATGGGCTTGATGATGTGCGTCCAGTCATCCTCGCAGAGGCCATACTGCTGGCGCAGCTCAGCCACATCCAGTTGCTTTCCGGGCTCCGTTTCAGTGCGTCGCAGCACCTCGAAAATGGCTTGTACTTTGGTAACGTGCTCGGCGAAATCGATTAGTTCGCTGATGAGGGTGTAGCACTCGGTGCACAGCACGCTGCTCAGCTCATCGTCCAGTTTCATCTGGGGGTTTTATAATTAAAGCTATGTATATATCATATTCCTGGCCAACTTACATGCACCTCGAAGTACTTGCGGATGGCCATTATGAGGACATTATCCCAGGTTCCCTTTCCACTCATTTGCACCTTCACATTGCCACGGGCATCGTCCTTGGCGCACAGGCGACACCAGTTCAGCCAGTGGCTGCCCTCCGTCATCTTGGCAATGGAATCCTTAGCACCGTCTAATGTGAACTAATGTGTATTAGTTCTATTGTTTACAATTGCCCAGAGATTTGGATTAGCGGAGGTGGAGATACATTAAATGCCACTCCACCCCTAGTGTCAGCTGAAGGAACCGCGGTATTAGAATAGTTCCAGGCAGTGGTTTTTTGGAAACACAGACTCAAAATCCATTATCAGAAAATTCTTATTTTGTTTTGTTTACTTTAATCGAATTAACGCGTTATTTGTGCGGCCGATAGGTTCTTGTTCTTCGATATCAATACCTATCGATGTCTGCAGTAAATACCAAACGGTATTTTCGCTTAACCCTTGTGTGAGCAAGGGAGGTAGATTTCTTCAATTTTTAAAAAAGATTTCTGTGACACCCCCGAATGAGCTATAAAGGGCTGAAATTTTTCCCGAACCTAATAATAAACTAAAGCTTATATATACAATATAAACCATTTTTTATATTTTAGAATTTATATTGTTTTTTAACAGCGGCACCCAGGACTGCCACAGCATCCCGGAATACAGCTTCTTCGGCAACATGGCACTGCAGCAGTTCCAGTCCAGCAATTGAAACAGAAGTTGGTGCACTGGATGCAAGTGGGCAGATTGCAGCAGCCTCCGGGATTGCAGCACATCTTAGAGCCGTTGAACCAAAAAAAAGAAATAAAGGCCGGAAGAAAGAAAAGAAGCAACGCCACGGGAGAGAATTCACGTGTGTCCTGGAAAATAACGTTACATTAAAAATAAATAAATAAAAATAATTTTGAAAAAAAGTGTATAAAAACCATTTTTATATACTTACTACAACCAAAAATATTTATTTCCAACAGGTGTTTTTCATTGGGATTCTTTTTGTTTTATTTTTGATGTATTCACAACGGGGTTCGGAAATGGAATGACTAGATACTGTATACTATAGATCAGCTTCCGACCTTTGACACATATAAAAATTCTAGAACTACTAGATGAACTTTATTTGGATATGGTCCCCGTCCTTGAATAGCAAGTCGTGTTTGTTCTCTGAAAATATGATCATAGTCTAATGTCTTTGACCCCAAAAAACATCATGTGGTTATGCCGCAAAAAAAATATTAGTCCAGTATTTCCTAAGATGCCTTATGAGTAAGCCTTCCACTTCTAGAGTATTAGACTCAGTAATATTAAGACAACAAAATTAAAGGAAAATAAAAATTACCAGATTAATTTTATTCTTAGTTAAAGTATAGGAAAAATAAAAAGGAACTATGAAGTAAATTCGTTTACAAATTAAGTTCGTTTATTGTGACATGTTGAGAGATTACAAATGTTCCATTATTCAGCTACAATTTTGTTGGAGATTCCTTTTTTTCGATAGAACCCTTTTGGCCAATAATGCACTAGCAACAACCCCGAGGACCGCAGGGCATAAAGGTGCACTGAATGTAAGCTGGAGTACAGGGCACACAGCAGAGTTCCACGCAGCAGTTATAGCAGCCGCCACAAGGATCGCAGCAGCGAGGTCCACAGGGTCCGCAGCACATGATCCTTTGAATATATAACAAAATAAGATTTAAATAAGGTCTTATGAATAATTTCTGGACTTACGATTTCTTCAAAGTTTTTGACTTGGCCAAAAGTATCAAATAATCCTTATTTCCTTCTAAAAAAGCCACTTAAATTGGCTAAAAAAACAAACTCATTTGGTGTCTTAAAAATTACATGAAAACTTACATCAGGCTTAATTACAAAAACAGGATCTTACAACCAACAAAATGTTTTCTGAATGTTGGACAAAAACTATTTTCAGAGGTGTTAACACAACGAATTCTGATAAACGAATGAAGAAAATATTTTGTTAGGGTTCTGAGAAGTTTGAAATGACAACAAAAGTCAAAGCATACGTGATTTTAAATATTTAGAAGAATTATAAAGTCACCTTAAAAAGGTGATAATATGCTTTCTCTTTGCTGGGAGTGCCATAGTTGCTATAATTCTTATTTGTTTTCAAAATGTAACAAGTTTTTAAAACCATTTGTTTGTAGTAAGATAGGAACAAATTAAAATTTATTTTCGAAATAAAAATATAGAAATTTGGATACAAATCAAGCGGCTTTGGTAGCTACTGTGCCCGGACTCCACTGGGGATAGTCAATCTGGGTGGCCGCCTCGTACTCCTGCACCAGGCATTCGACCGTCTCCCGGGCAAAGTCCAGTTCGTTCAGATCCTCCTTGAACATGGACTCGCGTCGAAAATTGTCCAGAAAGGCGTTGCGTTTCTTCAGCTTATCGTACTGCGCCAAGGCCCTCTTGAAGAGCGCACTGATTCCCGTGTGATTGGCCATCATCAATCCGGATACCTTGTGGGCCGATTGCACATAAGGCGAACTGCGCGGCAGAGCCACCTGGATGCTGGCCGGACCCCAGGGTATAAAATTGGCCAGTTTTCGCTCCCGGATGCGCTGCAGCGACTTGTGCACCTGCGAAGGATCCACCTCACCCTGGATGATGTTCAGTATGGAGACGAAGCAGTGGCGGTTCTGTTTGTCAGTCGTTGCGGACACCATCATGTTCTTCGGCTGAAGAAGGCGACGCATCACATCCAGAACGGTGGTCTTTCGAACGTTTGTTTTGGTCTGAAAACAAATTTAATTGAATGAAATAATAAAATGAAATGGAAACAAGAAAGGAAGCTACCTTCGGCCAGCCGAAGCTTATATACCCTTGTAGATAAAAGAATACTCACTCGGTGCAGTTCCAGGGATTCCAGATTCAGAGTTTCGATTTATTTCAATTTTGTTTTTAAGTAGTCAAGAATCAAAACGCCTACTTCCTACAAAGTTACAATGAATTTTCTTATATTTGTTTGGGAGCCTTAAGATATAGTGGTCCGATCCGGCTGGCTCCGACATATGTACTACCTGCAATAGAAAGAAGACCTTCGGGAAAGTTTCATCGCGATAGCTTTAAAACTGAGAGACTAGTTTGCATAGAAACGGACAGACGGACAGACGGACAGACGGACAGACGGACATGGCTAGATAGACTCGGCTATTGGTGCTGATCAAGAATATATATACTTTATGTGGTCGGAAACGTCTCCTTCACTGCGTTGCAAACATCTGACTGAAATTATAATACCCTCTACAAGGGTATAAAAACTAGAGTATATATTTAAAAATAGCTTTTTCTACACCTTTTTGATTTTTAAGACATTTTTTTAAATATAATAATGGGGGTACCCAAGGTCTACAGATTACATTTGGTCATAAAAAGGGCAAGGGAATATCGATAGATTTTTTTGGGATACTTGAGGAATAGAAAATCAATAGGAAGTTGTATTACAAAGTTTAACAAGTAAACCAGCAGGAAAAACGTAGATCGATTTTACAATAGTTAATATCAATTTTAATTTGATACGTGGCCAGGTAAATTTTACCTTGTCGAAAAGGGTATTTCATGTAAAAACGATATGGGGTTTTGCATGACCTGAAATTTACATGGCCATATCGATTTTACGGGAATATGCTGTTTTGTGTGTGTATTGGGAAGAAGCTAAAAGGGGTTACATGAAAAGCTAGTAATACAAAGATAGTTCTAAGCAAGCCATTCAGTATAATATTTTTCCTATCTTACCTCATAATCCGTGATCAGTGGAGTATATCCAGTCATCAGGAAATGCAGCTGGGGCGTGGGAATAAGCGAGGCCGTCAGTCCGATCAGGTTGTTGTTCATATAAGAGGGATATCGCAGGGTGGTGGTGCTCAAACTCATAATGGTGGAGACCAGATTATTGATCTGCGTAAAAGTGGGCGTCTGGATGTGCAGCCTCTCGGTGGCGATGCGATTCAAGGCGGTATTATCCAGCACGACCACACTATCGGCGCACTTGGTGAGTCGCTTTAGGGTGAGGATCGAGTTATATGGCTGGACAACTACGTCGCTGATCTCGTCTTGATTGGGAAAAACGCTGTAGGTCTGGATGAGTTTCTTGGGGAAGCGGTCGGATAGCCGCTCCAGAACATACGATCCCATTCCGGAACCTGTACCGCCAGCAATCGAGTGGCACAGAACGAATCCCTCCAGCGAATCGCTGCCATCTGCCTCGCGGTCCAGGATGTCGAACACCTCCTCCTGAACCTTCTCGCCCTGGCTGAAACCGGAGGCCCAGTTATTGCCAGCACCGCCACCGTGTTTTGAAAGATACACATTTTCCTGATTGTACAGCTGAAATGTAATTTAAATATTTCATTTTAATTTAATGGATCTTTATACCCTTGCAGAGGGCATTATGATTTCAGTCAGAAGTTTGCAACGCGGTGAAGGAGACGTTTCCGACCCCATAAAGTATATATATTCTTGATCAGCATCTTTAGACGAGTCGTTCTAGCCTTGTCCGTCTGTCCGTCGGCCCGTCTGTCCGTCTGTTTCTACGCAAACTAGTCTCTCAGTTTTTGAGCTATCGGAATGAAACTTTCCCAAAAGTCTTCTTTCTATTGCAGGTAGTATATATGTCGGAACCGACCGGATCGGACAACTATATCTTATAGCTCCCATAGGAAGGAAACGTTAAAAAAATTCTAGCTTCGGTGTTTTTTCATTTTTTCTTTACATATTTCTGAATTTCGAATTAAATATTTAAAAAATCGGATCACTATATCATATAGCTGCCATAGAAACGTTCGAAAAATTAATGTGAAATAACAGGAAATTTAACATTTTTGCGATTTGTAATTAATAGAATGATCTGCAAGGGCATATAAGCTTCGGCTTGCCGAAGCTAGCTTCGTTTCTTGTTTTAAAATATGTTTTTCTAAATCAATTTATAAATCTTTAGAAAGTCTGAAATTAATTATAGCATAATGTGACCTCAAGTTAGTTAGTAGATAGATATATTGGCTAGTAGATATATAGTTATGTAGATATTCAAACGTAGTTCCAAATAATATTTAGCCATCACCTTTAATTTATTGATCTTGATAAATGCCGTTAAGGCGTACCATCTTATTTACCGACCTTGGAATACGGCGAGGTCATTATATTGTTAATGACTCGCGGCTCTAAATCAATGAGCACGGCCCTTGGAATATAGTGATTGTCGTCCGCCTGGTAGAAGAACACGTCCTTGCGATCCTGTCCATCGGCGGCAAAGTCTTCAAGGACGCCATCTGGGGAGATCCCGTGCTCCAGGCACAATCTCTTCCAGAACTCAAAGCCAACTACAGTAAAGTGATCATAGTCGCTACAGTTTTGCTTATTTTACAAACTTACTTTGATTTCCGCATTGGCCCAATTGAAGGGTTATAATTTCACTTGGCATTTTGTCTAACTTTGTGGTTTTTTTTATTATAACTGTTTAGTAGAAGCCAGCTAAGGATGGTAAACGATCGATATGACTTCAAAGTTTGCAGTTTCTTATAAGTAGTATATCCTAGTAATATCCTAGTGAGTATATCCTATGTTTATTGCTATTTCTGTATAGAGTATAAATAATTATAATATTCCTGTAAATAAAACAAAACATTATTGTTAGTGTTAATACAACAAAGTATTATAATTTTACTTATACAAATTTTATTCTTTGAATTGGCATTCAAATCGCACGGCACACCCTGTGTCTGGGTGTAACGGTTCTTTAGAAGTTGGTATTTTTGAAGAACAGCGCAACGTTCATACTAGCGAAGTTGCCAAGAAAAAAGTCCTACCAAATGTTATTATAATTGAAATATTAAATAAAAACAGAAATGTTGCGGCAGGAGAATCTGGCGGCCAACTTCTGCGGCCTATTGGCCAGCCAGGGCTATAAGGGTACGTTAATTCCGGCCACCATTTACCAAAGATATCGTGACAGACAGTTTTTTGCAGAGAAGGCAAACGAGTGGCGAATTTTGGGTCAGGAGCAGGATGGTTCCCTGCTCACGTCCTGGATATTCGAGTACTCGGACGAGGACCAGCGCAAGGAGACGTGCATCGGACACTTCCATGCCACCAAGAAACAGTTGCGACTCCTTTGGACACTGGACAAGTGCTGCGAGATTGTCCAGGCAACGATTAACAGCAGTGTCACATTGCTATCCTTCGTGGAGAAAACGGAGGGAAAACTGTATCAGGCCTTTGTTGTGGAGGTACGCAGCTCTGAGGGCGGCACGGCCACGCCCCTCAATCCGGAGCCCACTCCCCGCCAGATGATGACCCAGTTCTTGTGGCGCGTGGAGAGCGCAACGCGCACCTGCTGGCAGGACAAGCTTCTGGTCCTCACCCATGAGGAATGTATGTGTCTGAAATTCCAGTAAAGCTGCCTGTATGCATAACCCATATCCTGTCTCCTCCTCGCAGCCATCAAACAGTATAGCTGCGTGGTGAAACAGAGCTCTACCACATCCTCGACTGGCGGCGGCGAGGGCAGCGCCTGGCGGCTGGACACCAGCATTCTCACCCACGAAACGCTGGCCAAGAACTTCAGCTGGGCCCAGTGGGATCCCGAGTGTCAGGCCCTCTACTACATCCACCTGAAGCCGAAGGCCAAGAGCCTCAGTCTGCTGGACGAAAGGGAGGAGGCCGGCGAGCAGGCGGCTCCCATTTTGAGTCCCACTCTGTCGGCCTTCCAGTTCAACGAAAAGCAACCAACGGAAACAGTGGTGGGTGCTATAAATTCTCAAGCTTTGAGCCAAAAGTAT